TAATTAATTTTATAAAATAAAACTGACCTGGAATTTCTCCAGGGTTATTGTCAATCTTGTGCCAAAAAGTTCTCGTAAGTGATTTAGCACTCATCATAAATTCTAAACAGCTGTGTAAAATCAATGTTGCGGAATAATGCTCATTGAGTAATACTTCTATATGTAAAGGATCATATCCACCAGATTAGTGTCGTTCACCTACTATTTAAAAGTGACCAAATGCTTGGGCAAAAAGGTAAGTTTCAAGAAGTTTGTTGAAAGGTAGATATAATTTGGAATGCAGGGGAATGTGCAGGTCAGACTGCTCACTACTTGAACTGTCAGCCCCTGTTGCAGACATATTGTAAATGCCACCCTGTATTTATCAAGTCATCTGAATGTCTTATAGGAGCAGCTCTGGGTTGTGTTTAATGATTTTCATTATGATTCTCTGGCTTTGATTATAATTGTTGCATTTTTAGTTGGGTTATGACCTACTGGGAATATACTTGGTTCTCCAACAATCCCTGAGGGGAATGGTACACTGGCACAGGTTAAATATATCATGACTTGTTCATTCTACACAATCTAATCCAATAGCTGTCATCAAACACTACCATGATACTTGTATGAAATGAAGTGAAAATGCAACCATTGGTTATAATGCTACATGCAATACAATAAAAAAATTTTAAAGCAAGTACAATACGATTTGCCATGCTGCTGAGAGGGATATGTATTTTATGGTTCAGAAAAGCTGGTCTTAAAGAGTTCTGAAAGTATGCACCCTTCATCATGGTGTCACTTGGCAGACATACTTTGCTCTAGAGCAAAAATAATTAACCTTATCTTGGCAAGTTTATTGAGGCAATTTAAACAGATTCCTCATCTGCACTCTTGGCTTTTGGAAACAGCACTAAATCAAAGGATGAACTCCTTCCAAATTTAGTGCACAACTCTGGCAAAGTTAACTGGAGTCTTAAACAGAACAATCTCTTTTGTTCCACAGAAAAATTAGAAAAAAATCCTAATGCTGATGATTTCATATTTGATCCCATGCTTCTCGACTGATGTATTTGGAAAGTCCGTTTAAAATGCAGATGGATCCCAGGCTATTTCTTTAATGACAGAACGAGCTGTTCCTAGAATAGGGGCAGGAGGTTTTTGATTAATTTCTCTGCCCCATCGGTTTTTCCTTGTTGTTCCTTTAAAGTAAAGCATATAGGCACTGAAATTCTGACAAAATAATGGTGCAATTGGAATTAAATGGATATTCACAATGCCATTGTTTTAACACCATCTGAAATTGAGGTCAAGTAATTCAAATATGGAAATGTGTACAAATTGTGTAACTTCTACCAGCCACACTTCCAGACAGCTGTGGCAATGGTAGAAGATAATGGGAATGGATCTCAGCCAGAAAATGGCTAGAGTGAGATGGAATGGGAATGGATGAGGGCATAAATTAGAGATGGGATAGGCAGAGAACTGTATATTCAACAAAATATAAAACCTATTATTGCTGCAAGGTAGAAATGACAGTACTAAAGAAAGCAGCCATCGTGGCAGAGAAGGATGATAACCATTATTGAGGATGCAAGCAACAGGTCTGAAAGTCTGAAATAAAAACAGATAGTCAGCAGGTCTGGCAGGATCAGTGGAGGGGGAACAGTGTTAATGTTTTCAGTCCAATGACTATTTTTCAGAACTGGAGAGATGGAAAGGTGACAAGTTTTATATTGTAGAAAAAGGTGGTGAGCAGGAACAGAAATAGAAGAGAAAGTTAAGGAAGGTGAGAGGGTGAGAAAGATTAGAGATCATAATTATCACCAGGCAAAAGGAGTGATAATGGTTTTGCAGAAGAGAGAGGTCAAGAGTAGGAATTAATAGCAGAATATAGGTCAGCTGTGCCAAAAGCAAATCCAAGAACACCAGACACTGGGGTGGGGAAACAGGGTGGAAGACAGAGTTCCTGCCTGTAGTTGTTTAACTCAATGTTGATCGAGAAGACAGTAAAAGGCCTAAATGGAAAATGAGGTGCTCTCTCTCCACCTTGCATTGTACTTTACTTGAACACCATACCAGAACTAGGATGGAAACGTAAACATGAAGATAAGAGTGTACTTAAATGGCCAGCAATGCAAAGGTCAGGGTCATGTTTACAGACTGAGCAGAGTATTCTGCAAAACACTCATTCTGCTTTTTGACTCTCTAAATTCAGATAGTCTGACTAGGAATCTCTGTTTACTGAATAGGGAAGCAAAGAGCTGGGCTGTTTGGAACTAGGAATGGGAAATGTGGCATGGAATTATTGGAGGGAAATGGCTGCAGGATGCTTCAGTGTTCCAAGTAGGTCAATGATCTCAGCCACATAGCCAAGATAAGCCACCACCTCCCCCAACTTTTCCAAGCAGTGTTTTATACATGTTATTCTTTAACTTATTACCTACATATTGCTTTAGAATTGTACTCTGGATATTTGATCTTTCCTTCCTATTTGTTTCCCTTGCTACCTGAAAAATTTTACCTTCTCTCAGTGTGTCATTCTTCATCAAGCCTCTCTAACTGATCGTTCACCATTTTTACTTCCTGAAGTTTGTCCCACAAATATTCTATATATCACTCTTCCCAGCCTTCAAAGCAATACCATGTTTTCTCTCTTTCACAGCAAATGTAGATATAACCAAAAAACCCCAGGTTGCGGTGGGTCCCCCCACAATTTGACATCTGATCCAAAATGAAGCAGGAACTCTGGAGATCTGGGGCAACCATGTGCCTGAACCTTCTATAGAATCAATTGTACAATATCATTGGATTCTGGAGATTTGAATGAACCACCTGCAGTTTGTGCATATTATGGCTTGGATAATACAGTAACAAGTCACATGGTTAGGCACTTCAAAAGCTGTAAAGGGATTGTCAAAGTAGCTGAATAATAAAGGTAGAAGAAATGATATATTATGGATCCTAAATAGTCCAAAGCTAGTAGCCCTTAAAAAAAGCAAAAAAAGAGGAAGGTGGTTTTCTACTTCTAACCGTTAAACTATATTGTCCACCCATTCACTCTTTAATCACTCACCCATGGATAGCTTTTCTGAGGGCTTTGTACTGGATGAAATGCAACATGATAGTGCCACAGGTGAAAAAGGGATTTGAAATTGAGGAAATGAGGATCTGTGCCAGCCAGTCAGTTAGTCACTGACTCCAGAGCCTGTTAATTCAGAACTCTGGTGTTCATGTTCAAGTTGGTTCCTGAATGAGCTTCACTCACAATGGAGTTGCTGGGGACCATCTTGGAGGACTTGAGACAGATATCCAAACCAATACAACACTATGTAGATCTAAACTGGAGCAAGCGCCACCAGGAATATCGCAATTGTCTACCTGACAGAGAAGCCTCTAGATCAAACAGTGTATCTAAGTCTGACACTTATGACATTAGTCATTATGTTAAGAGGTTGCTTCAAAAAAGATAATGGTTGCTATCTTCTGAAAAATTCAGGGCCTCATTCCTCACAATTTGTAGGTTCTTATTACTACCAAGTCTTCCACTGATCAGCAGGCATTTAATCCAAGATTAACACAGGTGACATGACTATAGTCCATGTACCTGACACAAATCTCTCTCCTGCTGACAGTTCATGATACTTTTCCAGGAATGCTGGTCGTATTGGCAGCAAGATACAGAACTCAGGATCTTCAAGTACCTATCGAGGTCTCTTGGCACTATTTGAAGAAATGGATGGCAGTTCTTTTATTATCCATTAACCAATAGCACCAGAGACTGGTTAAATGATCTTTCACTTTATTTTTTGAGGAACATTCTGTATAAATTAGGTGCCACATTTGCCTACTAAACAACAATTACATTTCAAAAATGATTAATGCAAGTTGCAAGATGTTCTCAGGACATAAAATGTCCTATCTGTGAAAACTGTCTGGTAGCAAAGAGACTCAAAATTCTGTTCAATAAATTTGTAAGAAGCAGACATAAATTTAAGCATTTGAAGTTTAGTTAATTTTAGCATTTAATCACAGTTGTTGAATTCCTGCTTAAAACAGCAAGAGCAAGAAATAAGATTGAAGTAAATTATTCTGAAGTGGAACATGCACAGACAACCACAACAGGTCAAATGACCTTTTCCTGTGCTGATAACACTGAAGCTCAATTCAACAGGAATGAGAGAAGTAGAGGAAAATTTATCACTTCTGTGTATTCCACTGCACTCCTCCTGGAATAGGAAGGAGTGGGATTGCACTACAATAAAATTGTGCAATCCTGTGATAATTTTTCTTTTGTTAACACATCAAATCTTGGCAGGAATGTAAGCTTTTACCCGGTCACCGCAAGACAGAAGTGCAGAAGCAAAATCTTCATTTATATATTCCTATCCTTAATTTGCACATTAACGTTGAGATACTAATCAGGTAATGAACCATCAAAATATAAATGGTTAGCTAAATTAAATACATTAGATTAGATCATTGACTTTAATAAGCATGGCTATAATTCATGAAAGTGAGAAGGGTGTATTTTATTTTCCCTTCCAACTTCATTTTGATTTAGTCCCTCCATCTCTCCCTACTACTCTCTTAACTTTGGGGGCCTGCATTTCTCTTAGTGGGTTTTCTATGTAAATTAATCAATTGGAAAGCACAGGTGATGGTAATAGATGAAAAAAAAACAGATGATTTGGTGATGGAAAAGAAAAGTTCAGTTGTTTGTAAGAATATGACTGGATATAAGAAACAAAAAGAAAAATTTAAAAATCATGAAGGTAAGTTGGAAGAATGAATAACTACCCGAAATCAGCTTGACTGGACTTCTATCTATAGAGACACTTTCTAGTGTTATGCTTAATGATTGATTTTGTACTTTTATATTTTAACTTAATTTGATTAGTACCAGTTTAAAAATTAGGCTGTACTTTTTGATCCTTGTCCAAGAAGGACATGTTGTATATACTTTGAACTTCTGTTGGTTTCACATGATTTTATAACCACCTTTTCTTTGTTTCTAGCTTGCACTATATCAGGACAAGGTCCAAAATCTTGAGAAGACCTTAGTGGATCCTTCATGTGAGAACAGATCACGATTATTAGAAGGAGATGATCCATCATTTGATGGACTGAGTAAAAAAATAGAAGAGGTAACAAACAAGTCTTTGATGTTTCACATGCTTGTATCACCCCAGTTATGATGTGCAAAGCTTAATCATCACCTCTTAAACTTGAAATAAAACCATACAAAAAGCAGCAATTCAAAACACTAGTATTGTGGGAAACAAGACTTAGTTTCTTCAATACAATTAAAATTTCAGTTAAAGTTATCAGTCATAGAGTCATAGAGTCATAGAGTCATAAAGGCCTAAAGTACAGAAAAAGGCCCTTTGACCTATTGAGTCTGTATTGGTCAAAACAACCACCTAATTATCCTAATCCTATTTTCCACCTTTGACCCGTAGCCTCATATGCCTTGGCATTGCAAGTGTACACCTAAATACTTCTTAAATGTTATGAGGGTTTCTGCCTCTACCACTCTTACAGGAACAGTGAGTTCCAGATTCCCACCATCCTCGGAGGGAAAAATGTTTTCTCACATCCCTTTCACATCTCTGCCCCTTACCTTAAAACTATGCCACCAGGTCATTGAACTCTCCTCAAAAGGGGAAATTTTCTTCCTTTCTACCCTATCCATGCTCCTCAATTTTCTGCATCTCAGTCATGTGCCCCCTCAGTCTCCTCTACCCCAAGGGAAAAAAACCCACCTTATCAAAACTCTATGCTTAATTAAAACTCTCCAGCACAGGCAAAATCCTCAGAAATCTGTTCCACATCCTCTCCAGTGCAAATACATCCTTTCTAATAACGTGGATTCCTGAATTGCACACAATACTCTATCTGTGACTAATGTTGTATACAGTTCCAGCATAACCTCCCTCCTCTTAAGCTCTAGACCCTGGCTAATAAAGGCAAGTACTACAAATGTCTTCTTAACAACTTAATCTATCTGTTGCGCTACCTTAAAGGACTGTTCAACATGCACACCGAGGTCCCTCTAATCCTGGTTCTTCCCAGGGTCCTACCATTAATCATGCATTCACTTGCCTGGTTTGTCCTGCCCAAGAGCATCACCTCACACCTATCCAAATTGAATTCTGTTTGCCAGTGATCAGCCCATCTACATCCTCCTATACTCCAAGGCTATCCTCCTCACTATTTACCAGCCCACCAATTTTTGGATCATCTGCAAACTTACTGATGAACCCTCCTGCATTCAAGTCGAAATTACTTGTATGTACCACAGTTAGCAACTGTCCCAACACTGATCCCTGTAGAACCCCAATGGACACAGGCTTCCAGTCACAAAAATGCTCCTCAACCATCATCCTCTGCTTCCTTCCGCTAAGTCAACTCTGTATTCAATTAGCTATATTTCCTTGGATCCCACAGGCTCTTAACTTTGCTATCAGTCTACTTTGCAGGACTTAATCAAAAGCCATTCTTACATCCAAATACATTATGTCAAATGTCTTTGAACTCCTCTCATTTTCTTCAGGTCAGAATGGTGGCCATGGGTACCTGCATGGGCCCCAGTTACACCCAGTTCGTGGGGTACGTAGAACATTCCTTGTTCCAGTCCCATTCCGGCCCCAACCCACAACGCTTTCTCCGATATATCAATGATATTGTCAGTGTCGCTTCCCTCTCTCATCCGGAATTGGAAAAGTTCCATCGATTTTGCTTCCAATTTCCGCCTCACCCTCACTTTCACTTGGTCTATCTCTGACTCCTCCGTTTCCTTCCTCGACCTCTGTTTCCATTTCTGGGAATAGACTGGCCACTGATATCCACTATAAAACCACAGACTCCCACAACTACCTGGACTATACATCCTCACACCCTGCCTCCTGTAAAGACTCTATTCTATTCTCTCAGTTCCTCCATCTCCGTTGCATATGTTCGAAAGAGGCCAGCTTCAACAAGGGAGCCTCCAAAATGTCCACCTTCTTCCTCAACCAAGGATTCCCCAGCATCATTGCTGACAGGGCCCTCAACCAGATCTAACCCATCTCCTGCACTTCTGCCCTCAACCCCTTTCTTCCCTCCCACAACAGCAATAGGGTTCCCCTTGTCCTTACCTACCATCCCACCAGCATCCACATCCAGAAGATCATCAGCTGCCATTTCCACCACCTCCAGCAAGACACGTATTCCCCTCCCCTCCCTTCTCCACCTTCCGCAGGGACTGTTTCCTCTGGGACACCCTGGTCCACTCTTCCTTCACTCCCAATAGCACCACCCCACAGCCCCATGGCACCTTCTCCTGCGACTACCAAAGGTTGAAAACCTGCCCATTTACTTCCTCCCTCCTCAGTATTCCAAGGGCCCAAACATATCTTCCAGGTGAAGCAGCACTTTATCTGCACTTCTCACAATCTAAGTTTACTTCATTCGCTGCTCACAAGGTGGTCTCTTCTACATTGGGGAAATGAAGTGTAGACTGAGTGACTACTTCACAGAACATCTATATTCTGCCTGCAAAAAAAAAAAAGACCCTGAGCTTTCAGGTGCCTGCCACTTTAACACACCACCCTGCTCCCTGGCCAACATCTCTGCTTCCGGTTTGCTGCAGTGTTCCAGTGAAGCTCAGCACAAGCTGGAACAACAACATCTTGTTTTCCACTTGGGGACCCTGCAGCCCTCTGGATTCAATATGGAGTTCAATAATTTTAGGGTCTGAACTCTCCCATGTTCTAGCCCTCTACCCCAAACACCAGACCTTGTTATCACATAGTCTGCCATTACACACTACCTATTGTTCACTACCAACAGTCTCCATTAACAGCTATTCACCCTCCTAGCCAGATTATCCACTCCTTTCTCTGTCCAAATGTTCTCTCTCTTCAGGCTTCATCCCCACCTATCGTTTACTCTGGACCTCTACCCCCCCACTCTATCTTCTGTATTTCAACTGGCATTTCCTACCTACCATCAGTTCTGAGGAAGAGTCATCAGACCTAAAACATTATCTGATTTCTCTTCACAGATGCTGCCAGACCTGCTGAGCTTTTCCAGCAATTTCGGTTTTTGTTTCTGATTTGCAGCATCTACAGTTCTTTCAGATTTTACATCATGTCAAATGTATTGCCCTCATCTACACACCTGGTCACCTCTTTGAAAATAAAGTTGGTCAGACACAATGTCCCCTTTACAAAACTATGCTGACTGTTCTTGATTAATTCCATGTCTTTCCAAGTGCAGTTTAATTCTGTCCCTCAGAACTGCTTCCAATAGCTTCCCCACCATTGAGGTTAAGTTCATTGACAAACTTTTCTGGTTTATCCCTTCCTGTCTTAGGGTCATTCAGCACGAAAACAAACTCTTCGGTCCAACTAGTCCATGCTGAACATAATCCCAAACTAAACTAGTCCCACCTGCCTGCCTGCTCCTGGCCCATATCCCTCCAAACCTTTCCTATTCATGTACTTTTCTAAGTGCCTTTTAAAATATTGTAAGTGTGCCCACATCCACCACTTCCTCAGGAAGGTCATTCCACACACGAACTGCCCTCTATGAAAAATAATTTGCCCTTTGTGTCTTTTTTAAAATCTGTCTCCTCTCACTTTAAAAATGTGCCCCCTAGTCTTGAAATCCCCCATTCTAGGGAAAGACACCTACCATTAACCCTATCAATACTCACGATTTTATAAACCTCTATAAACATCACCTTTGAACCTCCTATGCTCCAGTGAAAAAAAGTCCCAGCTTATCCAGCCTTCCTTTATAACTCAAACATTCCATACACTATAACATCCTGGTAAATCTCTTCTGGACCCTCCCTAGCTTACTAATATCCTGCTATAATTGGGTGACCAGAACTGGACCCAATATTCCAGAATAGGCCTCATCAATGTCCTGTACAACCTCAACATGACTTTCAAACTCCTACACTCAAAAGGAGTATAAGGACTCAGCAATGAAGGCAAGCATGCTAAACACCTTTATAACCATCTTGTCTAGATGTGACACAAACATCAAAGAATTATGTACCTGAACCGCTCGGTCCGTGTTCTACAACATGACTCAAGGCTCTACCATTAATTGTATAAGTCCTGTCCCTGTTTGTTGCATCAAAATATAATACCTCGCATTTATCCAAATTGAACTCCATCTGCCATTTTTCAGCCCATTGTCTATTTGATCAAGATCCCTTTATAATCTTAGAAAACATTCTTCATTGTCTACAATGCCACCAATTTTGGTGCCATCTGCAAATTTACTAACTATGCCTTCTTTATTCTCATCTTCTTGAATAACAGAACCAAACTAGCCATCCTCCAGTCCTCTGGCACCTCTCCTGTGGCCAGAGAGAATTTGAAACTATTGCCTGTACCTCTGCTATTCTCTCCCTTCCCTCACTCAACAGCCTACATTTAATATAATACATTTAATCTGGCCCTGGAGGTTTATCTACTTTTAAACCTGCCAGACCACTCAGAACCTCCTCTCTGTCTGTGCTAATTTCTTTAATTATGTCATAGTCCTTCTTTCTGATTTCTATATCCACATCACCACTCTCACGAAAGAACACCAACTGAAAGTATTCATTTAGAGCCCTACCTTCATCCTCCATTCCATGCGCACATTACCACTGTGGCCTTCAATGGGCCCTATGCTTTCCCTGGTTTGACCCTTTTAGATTTACAGCAACATAAATTAGGATTGATTCTAAGCAAGAAGACCCTTACATATTGTAGTATGATTAATTCTCAAAAGCTTATTTTAGGCAAAAAAGAAACAACAAAATAGTGCATGAAATAGAACTATATTGAAATTTGACATTCAAAATGCAACAATCTTTTTCAGTACTGTGCATTGCAATGATCTGTTTTAAAGAGTTGTTAATTTATTTAAAAATTGATGTGTCCAGATAATACATTTGGAAAATCCTCCTAGATCCTTTTTGAATAGTTTCCTAGCTAGAAAATACTGTGCTATAAAAAAAGCTTTTCCATTTCTCCACACGCTTTCATAATTATAGTGTGGAGCAACTTGAGTCAATTTTGTCTTGTAACTTCGCATCATAGATTCATACAGCATAGAAACAGACCCTTTGATCCAACCAGTCCATGCCAACCATAATCCC